TGATTCACCTGACACAGGGCTGCTGTCATTTCACACAGGAAAAGAAAAGAAAAACAAAAGCAWAAAATAAAACACTGTAATATTTACATGAGGACAATTCAGAGGAAACCGGAGAAGCCAGACCAGAACAGAGAAAGTGGGACTTAATGAAGATAGGATGACACCCCAGGGGAGTGCATGAACAAACTGTGAGGGAATGAATCACACTTTCTTTCTTTGGCTCTCCAATAAAAGAAAATGACTGCCTTGATGTGAAACAGTCAGAGGTTAGCGACTTTAGACTCCAGTCAAAACACGGAGTGAGAAAAACAAGACTGAACAGCTTTGGTCAAAAGACATTTCCATGCAAAATTGTTAGATCTTGCAAACTGTGTTCAGAGGATGTGTTGAGGATTACATCAAAGTCACAGCCGTTTGGGTTTTGGCTGATGTCAATTAATTGTGGCCGCCATCTTTAATTGGGTTGACGCCAAAAGTTGATGAGTTGTAGATTTGCAGTGATTATTTTCTGAGGGTCTTATTAAACTCTGTCCAGTGGTTTATGAGATATTTTGCTAACAGACAGGGTTGATGGTAACAGTAATTGCAAAAATACAAATGGCACATCCTCTGTGTGGTGCTCACATTATGTGTTTGGGATGATGCTCTGCTGCKACCACACAGATGTTTAGCTCAATAWCTGTACAGGGGACTGAGCTATAGCCATTTTTGTGCTTCTTAAGTGGTGGTGTTTTGGTTGGTATAAAACAGTGTGGAGGATGAAAAGAAAAACAGCTTAGGCAAATAAAAAACACCTACCACAAACCTGAATGGTAATTAGCTGAAAGAGCTACACTTTGATCCATGACCATCTAAAATCGTATGCTTCTTTGACCAAATCTTCAGCTACTGTTTGTCCTAAAATGTGACGGACAAAAAGCTGAAACAAGCAAAGGATTTGGGGTAGAAGAGGCTGTAMTACTACCCCTTGCCATAGTGAAACTTTTACTTTTAAACAACAGTAAACATGTAGATTAGATCATTGATAAGAGGTTTTAGAAGCTATTTATTTATATGTCATCTCACAAATGATTCTTCTAATTAGGCACAGAAAACCAAACATATTTTAGAGCTATAGCAAATGTTAAATTACAACATTACACAAAACAACAGAGCTGGGTTTGTTAAAACTTGGAATGGCAGCTGGAATAAAGGTTGCATTTAAATATATTTAAACTGTTTTAAACCTTGCTAAGATTCATATTCAGCCGCTTTGCTTCTAAATCATTAATGCACTTTAAAAACCTACAAAGTACTGATTTAAAACAGCAGCTTTGTTGTTTTCCATGAGTCAAGGCTATTCCTCCACAGACTCAAAACATGAATCTGATTTCTTGTATCAACAAGCCGTTCCCATCAACACAAACACCCTGCTAAAGGAACAGGAGCTATGAGCTAAAACACCTCCAGAGAGTTCCAGTCTGACACAGGTAAGAACCATATCTCTACAACCAGTAAGCTTATCGACATGCGGCAATCTAAACTGACTTTGCTACAGAGACTCGTCACTGTTATTCAAATACACCRTAACTGATTGCACCCTGAAGGCACACCTGGAAGCAATATTCTAATGAAGTTAATCTGTAAACTCCTGACAATGTGGCTGTTCAGGTGCCTGGTAATCTGATATGAAAGGAGTCTCACTGGATGAATACGAGAGAGCCGGCACCTGTTTCAGCAAAAAAGTTGCAGAAAATTACCAGTGTCAAGTTGTCCTCGGTGTAAGCAATTACAAGTGACAGTGTTTGTCTTTTTTCCTCATGAAACCCAATTTCTTTCCTAGTTTTTTTTGTGTGTTTTGTTTTATTTTTGATGATGGGCTGTCAAATGATGTTTTGCTCATTCTTCCTTCCTCTCTAATTTACACACGCTTCAGTTTTCATCACCTTGATTACGGAAATCTGTGCTTCTGAAGGAACAAATAGGTCATCTTTGCCACGGTCATTATCCAGCTGCTTTAGTTTAGGGCTCTGGGAAAATAAATGCAGCTCAACTGTGTATATTAAATAGCCCATAAAATTCCAATTAGATTTAAATGAAGCTGTTCACCTAAAATTCTTGCTGATCACAAGTGAAAGTTTTATCAAACTGTTTCAGGCACCAAGAGTGAAAACTAAAACTGAAAACAGAAAGCAAGAAATGAGAGCAAAGATAAATGAGATATGAAAAAGCAAGAACGATCTGCGAGTAAAAACTGAGCCACCTTGAATAAAGAAAAACATGTTTGTTTGTTTTTTTGGACACAATTTACTTTCTTCAGTTCTGAATTTGCTGCTGATAGTTCGAGGTTCAGATATCATACTGAGATAACAGTTTTCTATTCTGACAGTTTAATGCAAATAGAATATAACCACATGTACAAGTATTTTGAATAATTTGCTTTTCTTTTGCATAACTATAACATTGATACAGGCACAGAAAAATAAAGTTCACCGTTTCTATTCTAGTTTTTCATATAGGTCTATGTAGTTTTCCATACCAGGACATATTAAAAAGTTTTTCATCAGGTTTTAAAAGTATTCAAACTTAAATTAGTGTACAAAAACACACCACAGATTCTAATATTTCCTTATTTATTAAACCAAAATCAAGACAAAATAGAAAAGTATTAACCAGGTGCTGCTAATTAAATTAACTCGACTGAYTGATCATCATCAGATGAGTACCTCCATGATTTTAGATTAACACAACGCTGAACGGTTCTAAAACTATTCACTTTTTATTGAGAAAAAAATATGCAATGCCAATCTTCTCAGGAGAGGACATCCCAGCAAATTCACCCCAAAGTCAGACTGTAAAATTCTCAAAGGAATTGAACTAACTAACTAACTAACTAACTAACTAACTAACTAACTAACTAACTAACTAACTAACTAACTAACTAACTAACTAACTAACTAACTAACTAAC